GCCCCCCGACCATACGCAGACAGGTGCTTGAGCCTTCAGCTCTCTGTGCCCGGTGCTCACACACGCGCCAGGAAATTTAAGCGCAGACTCGTAAATTCACAAGAGGCGTAGACGCCCAGCCTCCCAGAGTGAGAACTGACAAAATGCTGCTTTTCTTTGCGAATCAAACAGATGGAACCGCTCGCCCTTCTGTCGGGTGTGCTGTTTGTGTGTTTGTCTTTTGCCTGAGAGCAAATCTCCTTCCCCAGGGCGGGGCTGGTCCTGGGGACCCTCCTTCCACATGACCTAGGGGCGGGAGGTGGTGGTGGTGGGGAGACGGCCATGGGGAGGGGAATGGACAGGAAGTATATGGCCTAGGGGTGGGGTACTCTGTCAGTTTCAAACCTTGTGCGGAGAAGTCCCTGTGCCACCTCAGAGGACACTGACCAGCACGTCAGCCCGCAATGATGCCGCAGCGAACCTCCCAAGAATAATTTAGAAACCGGGCGGCATCGACGCACATTCTGGGTATCGGGGTTTTTTCCTCTAGGAGATGAGCTGTCTAGTCGCCTGTTTCCTCCAAAAGAGCTTCCCTTGCGTGTCCCTTTGCTGGACCTCCAGCGCCCACCCGATGGAGTCCACCGGTGCGGCCCCACCCCGCTTGTCCCCCGCCCCCCCGCTCGAGTGCCAGCAGCTGTCAGCCTGCAAGTGCTCGACACATCTTCCAGAAAAGCGTGTGGCAAGGTTCCCCAAATGATTAGGAGGAGGGGCTGTCTTCTGTGGGGGAGACATGACGACTGTGACAACGGCGTCCCCACGGTCTGTCCCCTCCTCCCGGCCACCTCACTGACTGCTTCGGAGGGCAGGAGTCCCAGAGGGACCAGCCCCTGACACGCAGCCTGGAGCTCAGCCGCTATACACAGCATCCCCTGCACAGACCCTGTCACGCATGGTAGGAAAGCCCACGCCTGCGCTCGCCGGGGTCCGGGAGCCGGCCCCTGTGTCCTCGCCCCTCCGTCCTCAGTCCTGGCCACCCGTGCTCTTCCCAGACGGCCCATGTCCCCATGTCAGCCGGGTGCCCAGCCGCCCGCCCCCACGCTCTCCGTGCAGTGGGCCCAGCTCCTGGAAGGCGGCGTTGTGTCACCTGACACCGACCACACTCGTGATGCTGGACAGGCGGACGACAGATGGTGGACGGCGGTGCTGGACGGGCGGACGGCGGTCGGCAGGAAGCCCGAGCAGCGCCGGTGGGCACCGCCGTGGGCTCGCCCTGCCGAGACGCCAGGGATCTGGCCCTCCCTGGCCCTCGTGGACGCCCCAGTCCAGGGGTCGGAAGGGCCTTGGCCCTCGCCGCTTCCCATCAGCACCACGGCTCCTGTTAACACCGCCAGGTGTCAAACAGCTACAGCCACCAGGGCCTCTGCCTCCGCGTCCTGGGCTGGGCTGTCACCTGAGCCCCTCCTCTGTCCTCACGCCCAGAGGAGCTGCAGGACGAGGAGGGGGTGCTTGCCAGCCGCCCAGGGAGCCCCTGCTGCACCGCCCCCCCCCACTTTTCCCAGGAGGTGGAGGTGGGGACGAATCTCTTGCAGGACGGGAGAGGCTGGGGGGCCCAAGCCCTCGCGGGGCCTCATCTGGGCTCAGAGGTCAGAGGTCCAGTGCTCGACGACTCCGCGGTGGCTCACGCCACAGACCGGACTTCAGCGTGGCCTCCCGCCTCCCCAGCCGGCCCCACCAGCGCCCGTTCATTCGCTCGTCCTTTCTTCAGGAAACGCCTACCGGGTGTTCCCTGGGCCCTCCACACGGCCGCCCGGGCATGGGAGACCCCTGGGAGCTGACAGGTCTGCAGCTGGGGGTCCCTCAGAGCTCAGGTCCGCCTGCTCCCAGGGCCTCCTCCCTCATCCATCTGTAGG